TTGTGTGGATTTTCGCAATTTAAATAATGCCACTCCAAAAGATGAATATCCAATGCCTATGGCCGATCAACTTATTGATTCGGCCGCTAAGCATGAAATATTGTCTTTTATGGACGGCCATTCAGGTTATAATCAAATCTATTTAGCCGAGGAGGATGTTCATAAAACGGCTTTTAGATGTCCTGGGTCAATTGGTACTTTTGAGTGGATTGTGATGCCATTTGGCCTAAAAAATGCCGGGGCTACTTATCAAAGGGTAATGAATTCTATCTTTCATGATATGATTGGCCGATTCATGGAAATTTATATAGATGATGTAGTTGTGAAATCATCGGCCAAGAGACAGCATTTGGAACACTTGAAAAGGGTCTTTGAAAGGATGAAGATTCACAAATTGAAAATGAACCCATTGAAGTGTACATTTGGAGTTTCAGCCGGGAATTTCTTGGGGTTCTTGGTACACAAACGAGGTATTGAAGTTGATCAGAACAAGGTCAAAGCTATTATAAATGCTAGGGCCCCAGCCAACAAAAAACAAGTGCCAAGGTTCCTCGGCCAGGTAGGTTTTCTTAGAAGATTTATTTCTAACCATGCTGGCCGAGTGCATATCTTTTCGACTTTAGTAAAATTAAAGTCACATGAGAAATTTCATTGGGACGAATCCCATCAGAAGGCCTTTGACAAAATAAAAGAATATTTGGCAAACCCCCCGGTTGTAATGCCTCCAAGAAAGAAGTGGCCGTTAAAGCTTTATTTATCGGCCGCAGAAGAATCAATTGGTAATATGCTCGCACAAGACAATGAACATGGAAAGGAGCAGGCTGTCTACTACCTGAGTAGAGTACTAACTGATGTAGAATGCAGATATTCCTCAATTGAGAAGCTTTGTTTATCTTTGTACTATTCGGCCATGAAGTTGAGAGTATACATGCGGCCTGTTGATGTTTACATTCTTTGTCAGACTAACGTGATCAAGTATATGCTATCAAGGCCATTGATCACTGGCCGAATAGGTAAGTGGGCTTTGGCTTTGATGGAATTCAATTTTATTTACGTCTCACAAAAATCAGTAAAAGGAAGGGTTTTAGCTGATTTTTTGGCCGATCATCCTTCAACTGATATTGATCCATGGGTTTATGATGAATTGGAGTCATCAGCTATATTCTTAACTCCTTGGATCTTGATGTTTGATGGATCAAGCACGGCTGATGGAGCAGGAGCAGGTATTGTTATTATTTCGCCAGCTGGCAGAAAGGCTTCATTCTCTTTCTTTTTAGATTTTAAATGTTCAAATAACCAGGCCGAATATGAAGCGCTTATAATCGGCCTGGAGATTTTAATTGAAATGGCTGTTAGAGATGTAAAGATTTTGGGAGATTCAAACTTAGTCCTTAGCCAAATTTCTGAAGATTTTAAGTGCCTAAGTTGGCAATTAAGGCCGTTTCATTCTCTGGCCACTTCATTAATCAATCAATTTGATAATGTTCAACTTAAGTTTTGGCCGAGAGGGCAGAATAAGGAGGCCAACAGCATGGCCCAAGCAGCCTCAGGAATAAGAGTACCAGTCGGAATAGAAGATCAGTTGATAAAGATAACACGAAGATCTTTGCCATCGGCCGAATTGAGAAATACTATGTTTGATACTTGGACAATTGATGTAGAAGATTTGGCCGACGATGACTGGAGGATACCATTTATAATGTTCCTTCGAAATCCAAACATCAAGGCTGATAGAAGTATTAAAAGAAAAGCGATCAACTTTGTGCTTCTAGATGGGGATCTATACAGAAAAGGGTTAGAAGATGGGCTCTTACTACAATGCATAAGTAAGGAGGAATCACTTCAGGTTATGGCCGAGGTACATGAGGGTAGCTGTGGGGCTCACCAAGCTGGGATTAAAATGAGATGGCTGATTCGCAGGTATGGATATTATTGGCTGAGAATGAGGAAAGATTGCATAGATTACTCAAAAGGTTGTCAAGCTTGTCAAAGACACGGGCCGATTCAAAATGTACCAGCAAAAGAATTACAGCCAATAATCAAACTTTGGCCATTCAGAGGTTGGGGCCTTGACCTTATTGGTAAAATTAATCCACCATCAAGCGAAGGCCATCACTGGGTGATTGTTGCCACAGACTATTTTACTAAATGGGTTGAGGCCAAGGCTTGCAAAGCGGTTGATCAGCAAACAGTGATTAATTTCATAGAACAAAACATCATCCACAGATTTGGGATTCCAGAAACACTTGTTTCAGACAATGCAACAGTGTTTAGGGCAACTGATGTACTACAATTCGGCCACAACATGAATATTCATATGTCAGCCTCTACGCCATACTATGCTCAAGCAAATGGCCAGGCCGAATCTTCAAATAAGATTTTAATTGAGATCATTGAAAAAATGATCAAAGATAAGCCAAGAAGGTGGCATGAGACTTTGTCTGAAGCTTTATGGGCCTATAGGAACTCAAAAAGAATAGGCACAGGAGTTACACCATACATGTTAACTTATGGTCATGATGTTGTTCTGCCTATGGAGATGAAGGTTAAATCAGCCAGAGTTGCTTTTCAAAATAATCTAACTCCAGCTAATTATATTCAAGCAATGTTTGTAGAATTGAAAGATTTGGATGAATTTAGAAGGGATGCCTTGGATCATATCATAGCTCACAAGAAGAAGGTGATGAGGATCTACAACAAGAGGGTAAAACCTAAGTCTTTTGCTGAAGAAGATTTGGTTTGGAAAGTTATTTTGCCAGTGGGTAAAGTCGATAGGAAATATGGGAAGTGGTCCCAAAAATGGGAAGGGCCATACTTAGTCCATCAAGTCTTAAGTGGAGGAGCATATAGGCTGAAGTATTTCAGTGGCCGATTGCATGACTATCCCATTAATGGCAAGTACCTCAAGAGGTACGTACCGGCAATCTTTGAAAGGGAAAATTAGTGTTAGCCAGTACTTACGGCTGACCATGTGTACCTTTATGTAATAAAAATCGGCCTATTTTTCTAGGCTAATTTGGCTATTTTAATAAATTTTTTCTCGCTAAAATGTTGATGCTTGTTTGGAGTAACAAAAGAGGCCATTTATTCATTGAAGTGTAAAAGATTACATCATTTAAAGATCATACACTAAGATGGCCACAAAAGGAAGCTAATATAAAAAATTCATATGTTTGCAAATTTTTCCTTGAAATCGGCCCAAATAACTAAGGACCGATTGAAGGCCACCATGGCCTGCCTCTTTGACTCTTCCAATTGAGGTAATTCTCCACGAAGATTTACATGCTCGTGAGCAAGGTCTTGAGCTTCAAACTGCAATGTGGCAGCTTCAGCAAACAAGATGGCCTTACGAGCATGGATCTGGTCGATCTCTTTCTGAAGGACATGTTCTCTTTCCTCAAGGCCGATGAACTCTGTATTCACTCTTTCAAAGGAGGAAGCTTGAATTAACAATTGGTTAGCAAGGGTATCCTTCCTGTTTTTACTCTTGTTGAATTGGTTGATTGCTTCATTGGCTTGGAAAATATCATCGGTCAGAGTTGGTAGCTGGCCTTTAAAGGTAGCAATAGTGGCTTGAAGATCAACCGGAAAGTCTGGGTACTGGCTGAGTGTAAAAAGCACTGCTGTGAGCTCACTTTCAAAATTAGGAAGATCAGCAGCATCTCTTTTCAAGATCTCAAGTAAAGATTTTTTGGTCTCTTCTAAGGATTGTATAGGGATATTGGTTGAAGTGACTGAGGTGGCTCCAGAAGATTCACTTTCTTTCTCTTCGGTCACTGAAGCCACCACATCCTTAAAGAAATTGCTCAAGGCTAGTAGAGATGAAGCATGAGCTTTTTGTGGAGGAAATAAAGGAATAATTTGAGTTTTCTCATACACAACCTGACAAAATGAGGAAAGATTAGATCTTAAATTTTTGTTTTTTTTGGATATGAGATAGTCAATACCTTAGATGATTCGGCTATGTCTGTCACTAAGAGTGGCTGATGACTAATTTCTGGAGGAGGAAATTCTGGCTGAACCGCTGTGCTATCTCCCTGGGATGAAGTTTTAGCAGGAGTGACTTGAACATTGAAGGGAACCTCAATGGGATCATGAAAATCCTTCAGAGGGCTGAAATTTCTAACTGGGCTATAGACCAAGTCAAGAAGAGGAGATTGCTGCAAAAGAGAAGAAATTAAGGACCATATTAATTGAAAAGTTTGGAAATTTCAAGTACAGTTATCTTTACCTCTTTTTCATCTGAGGAATGATCAGAAGGAGTGTCAGCCACATTAATTACGGGATCATCGGCCGCGTCTTCTGTAGGATGAAGGCTTTCTAGATTTTCTTCCACTTCATGTTTCTTACGTTTGCTCAATCTTGTTTTTTTTAAAGTGCCATGAGCAGTTGATTTCTTTCTTTTTCCCTGGAGATGGAAGCTTTATTAAAGTTTGTCTCGGCCAATAATAGTTGTGGCCGAGAATTAGAAATCAATATTGGCTAAGTATTTTAACAATTGGGCCGATATGATTATCTTTGTATGTTAATAGATAAAAAACTTTTACCTTTGGAGGAATTGGAGGAACATCAGGGATGATGGCTGATTCAGTTATTGAAGGCTGAGGAGGTTGGCTGGAGGAAATTTCATCATCTTGGAGCTCAACGTTTTCTGGATTAGGCGAGGCTGATAAAGTTCCACTGTCTGAATCTGCGAAAAAAAAAGGGGGGGTAAGAGAAATTCAATTAAAAGTTTTTTTAATATATATATATAAGTAAAGGAAGATCGTACCTTTGAGGAGGCTGGCAGTGGCTTTGGCCTTAGCTTTTCTCTCTTTATTGGTCCTTGTTGGTGCATTTGCTGGCTGAGAGAAAGGGAGTTTCTTGGCCGTTTGTTTTTTACCTTTGGGAGGATCTTTTTGAGGCATCTTCTTTGGGGTAACGGCCCGGGAAATTACGAATGCCCCTTCAAAGGCCACAGATATGAACTTGAAAGATTCCAATATTTTAACAACAAGGGACTAGCTATCAGCCGTCCTTGTAGAAGTAATGTAAGAAGACCACCATTGATCAAAACTAGAATCTGAGGCTGGGTTTTTTATGAAGGGTTGGAATTGGAATCCAGCCTGCAGATTTGAGAACCGGGAGGACACGTTCTTTACATAGGAGTCATCTGGAAATACCACACGCCTATGGAAGTTTTTGTTGAAAGAGAAATAAGGGGGCATGGGGATCATTTGAGTCAGACCAAATTGCCTAGCAAGTTGGTTTGGATTGTAGAACTCAACTCCAACTTTTGAGTTTACTGTGCCTAGAGGGCCAGTGTTGAAGTGAAGGTCTCTTGAAAGTAAGAAACTAGCCCACATGGCCGAATGCTTATCAGCTAATTTTTTGGTAGACACTCCTTGAGGAGGAGTCAGACATCGAGGTGCTTGTGAGCAATGAGAAAATGGAAGGAATTGGCTGATAGTCCTCTGTTCACAACCGGAGTAAAAGAAATTGACGCAATCTCCAAACGAATGGGATTTAGGTACGGCCGATGCGTAACTTACAGAAAGTAATGGGTCATTGGCCGAAGGCCTTACCACAAGTCCGAGCTCAGGAAAGTACACTTGAAGCCAAATTTGAAATAACCAGAGGGGACCACTATAGCGTCCGAAGTTGGAGGTAAACAAGTCATAAATCCCTTTATATAAATGAGAAAGCACCAAGGGGGCAAGAGCAAGGTGTTTACCTCTTGAAAGGGCAACGGCCACATGAATGAAATCCTTTGTGACTTGAAAGGCCGGTATGCATAGAAGAAACTTGTTCAGCCAGGCCAACAAGAAGGCAATATGTTCAGCATCATTCACAGGGACGCGAGGATCCATGGTGGAAGTTAAGTATTTGCCATAAGAGGATTCAGATGACTTGGTTCCAGTTTGCTTTGAAGGGAAGATGAAAGGAGAATCCTCTTCGACCAATAAGGTACTTACATCAATCCCAAAGGGTTTGAGGCCGGTTAGATAGCACACGTCTTGAATGGTTGGAGCCATCATACCACACTTCAAGTGTAAGGAGTTGGTGGTGGTCGACCAATTAAACATGGCTGCTATCATCAAGGCTCTGTCTTGGGCGATGTTAGTTTTACTTAGCTGAATGGCATCATATATGCCACAATCCTTCCATATTTCTCCCTTCACAGCTCCAACTCGGTCGACCCAATTGATCCAAGCATCATTTGGGCTATACCATGTTCTAAAATGAAAGTGTGGCAAACTGCCATTTTCATTAGGAGGGAAGGTTTGAAGGAATGGAAGAACGTCAGCCGAAGGATAGAAAGGTGAGATTGATGAAGGAGCTTCATCAAGGAAAGCAGGACCTAAGCCTTTGAAGTCAGTACGAAGATCGATAAGGGTATTGAGACAGTATTTGTAAGGAGATAGAGTTTTTAGGGATTTTTCTATGATGTTGCCATGAGTTGAAGGATCGGAAGGTTGAGGGATAGAGGTGGAATCAGTTGATTTAGTTTTCTTAGGAGCCATAGAGGACGTCAGGAACGATTTCGCCGAGAAAGAATTTCAGAGATAAAAAGTTTAAGGGAAGAAGAATGATTTTAGGGATTAGAGGGCATCAAACTAAATACTTGTTGGATGTAATAGCGGATTAGTGTAGTCACCGCTTTAATTGGGAAAGATAACCATTAAAGCAGGTGGTTGGGAAAAGGATTTATTACTAAAATTTGAATTACAATTTTAGGCCGATTCAAATTCCAAACGCTTCGTATCATAAGTGATAAAAGCCTTTGAAATTCAGGGGACATTTGTTGGCACCAAAACTTGGCAGCCACTTCAACAGCAACGTGGACCAATGGGAAGCCGATAAGGGTTAAGCATGTCCAAGAATGGTCGGCCAATGGAGAAATAGTAGGAGAAGATTTAGGAGGATATCTATATATTCAGCCACCTCACCAAAAGGGTTGTTACTAAACAACCGAGATTTGGGTTAATTTCAAAAGGAAATTTCATCAGAAATAGAACATTGGGAGAGGTTGGCTGAGGTGACATAATTAAGTTCCTAAAAAATAGGGATTTAGTTATGAGACGGGAAATTGAATCCTTATGGAAATGAAATTCAAAAAGGAAGGGGCAGCCACGTGAGTGTATGGGTCAAGGCTATAAATGGTTTTCCAGCCATTTAAGGGAATATTACAGTCAAAGCTTGAAGAAAGAAGTTGCTAAAAATCAGCAACTTACTAGCAATCTTCCAGCAGCTTTCTACCGACTTCTTAGCAATCAATATTTTCTTCAACAAAGGTATTTTATTTGAAGCAAGACGAAACAAGAGGAGAAGAGACGTGAAAGACTACTGGAATACGACCTATTTTCAGCAACAAAGTGAAGTAAATCAAGGAAAAGAGAGATTTCAGTAAAGACTTTCCCATTGAAACTGGAGCATCGATATTGAAGGCGAGGAATGTTGGGCCGTAGCTCAGTTTGAATTTCAAAAGAAAATGATTGAAGCAAAAGAGATTTTCTAGCAATTAATTAGGAGAATAAGTTGAGATAGAACTTCTATAAATAGAAGTATTGTATTCCATTTCCAATTCGTCCAGCACCACCACAAAACATGCATTTCAACTAAAATGTTTTCAATTGACTCTACGTCATTTTCCTATCAATTTCTTTATTGCAATTTAATGGCAATTGATTAGATCATTGTCAACTATTTCGATTCAGCCATTTACTTTCTTTCAATTTCAATTATGCCAATTTTAATTACGCAATTTTAGTTAGGCTTTCAATTCAATGGCAATTGATTAAATTCTTGCCATTGAATCGTAGTGACAATTGATTAAATTCTTGTCATTACTTGGCTGATGGCAATTGATTAAATTCTTGCTATCACGTATCGATTAAATTCTTGCCATTATGTTTGGCTGATGGCGATTGATTAAGTTCTCGCCATCACGTTCGGCCGGCGATCGATTAAGTTCTTGCCGCCTGTCTTCACTCGGCCATTCCATCCATTCAAACATTCATCAGCCGTTGCATTTCTTTAGACACTCTAAAAAGTTCTTGCTACAAACAAGGCATAAAAGAACATTGCTGGGAGTTCTTACTAGTCTCTCTCCCACACATTCGCCTGAGAGTCAGCCATCGGAAAAAGGGATAGGCTGGTGTTCAATTACATATTTTGGGTATTTTGTACAAATACTCTGGCACGCCCGCGAAGAGTCCATCAACCGGCGTAGGGAACAAAAACCACGCGAACAGTCTCAAATCTAATATGATTCCAATATCAAGTTGGGCTATGAGTGAGAATCCATTGGGCCTATTATTTTATTAGCTACAATGAATTAATAATTGGCCCGGTCAATGGACCCAATTCAATTAATTCATAAATTAATTTCTACTCCACTAAAAGAAATTAATTGAACTCCAATTAAATAATAAATAACCTCTAAGTCAATATTGCACTTTGACCCCTCTATGCATAATTAGTTATCGGATAAATATAGCCATCAATCCGACTACTTAATTAATATATTTATTTTGGTACCTTTGATTATTTCTGGCTCGATCACAATAAAACATTTGTTTGACAAAAATAATAATTTAAATAAATAAATATATAGTAAATCATTTTGTCTAAAAACACACGAAGGCCTTCGAATTTACTTTGTGATCAACCATAATCAATAAAAAATAAATACAAGTAGCAATGATGCAAATATTGAAAATATAACCCTCTAATTATTAATTACATAACTATCCAAAGTGTCGGTCTAAGGAACCCTAAGAATCCGCCGAACAAATCAAAGTAATTATTAATTAATAAAAGAGTTTATAATTTTCTCATGCTTAAGAGTCAAATGCCATGACGGTGACAGGGAGCAATTGCATACGACGGCTCTCGCAATATATCTCAACCTAACGCGGATCCAGTTCAAATCTTAATTAATTATGAGTCCATCCATAATTACCGACTATGAACCATTTATGATTACTATTTATCTATCATACATTGATTGCCATCACATACATATATATAAATATCTCTTGTAATCAAATGGACACTATCAATTCTATAATGAATCGAAATATAATACATTGAATTCACCAATTGTATAAAACATAAATATTTCAGAAACGTCAGGAATATATGTCACTTTAATCCAAACAGGAATTTGCTATACCAGGGCATATAAATCCCAACAGCTCCCACTTGCCCTCATAGCTAATTCAAATTGCACCTAACTCCAATGTTATCCAGATGATGATCAAAATTATTGATCAATGACACCTTTGATAATGGATCAACAAAGTTGTGTTCCAATGCAATGTTCTAGCTACAAGTACATTTTCTTGCCAGACAATATCATGTTGAACATGATACTTCCTCTTAGTGTATCTTGTTCCTCTATAGAACCTTGGGTCATTGGTTTGGACTACTTCTACACTATTGTCGCAATATAGCTCGATAGGTAGGCTAGCATGCTCCACAACCTCTAAATCAGTGAGATCAAACCAATAGGCTTCCTTTGCCGCCTTTAAGGCTGCAATATATTCTACCTGCAGGTTTGAGTCAGCAGTTGAAATCTGCTTAACAATCTACCAACTGATTTCCCTTTCATTAAGTGAACATACACTAAGTCATGAATCTCATAATATCTACTTCTGATTTAAAATCAGAATTAGCATACCTGACTAGGACCATATCATCACATCCATAAATGAGTATGATATCATTGGTTCTCCTTAGGTACTTAATGATATTTTTCACAATAGACCAGTTGTCAAGTCCAGTATTGGACTGATCTCTACTGACTATCCCTACTATGTAGCGGATGTCCTGTTTGGTATAGACCATGGCATATATGAGACTCTCATATGCCGAAACATATTGTTCCAGTCTCATTTGCTCAATCTCCTTTGATAGTCTTGGAAAACTACTTACTAGAGAGAGCCATCCATATCAATAAAGCAAGAACTCATTCTTTGAGTTATGCATGCCAAACCTGGTCAAAACTTTATCAATGTAGGATTATTAAAATAAGCCTATTTTCCTTTTAACCTGATCTTGCAAAAGCTTGATCCTAGGAATCTAGCTTACATCCTGAAAATCCTTCATTTAAAAGTAATTGAACAACTACCTCTTTATTGATGACAAAACTTCCACATCATTCTAAATGAGTAGGATGTCATCAATATATATAGAATTAGAAAAATAATGACATTCCCTTGTACACTCTTGATTTATTCACTAAGAAATCTTCTGGTATCTTTTTGTAGATTAACTTGCCTTCCATAGGAATTACCCTACTAGAAAGTTCTACAAGATCCCAGAATTTATTAGAATACATAGATTCCAACTCGGATTTCATAGTAACTCACCAAAACGATCTGTATCCACATCGGTTCACACTTCCGTGTAGCTTACTGGGTCCAACTTATGTTTAACAGGGATGTCCATAATGGTCTCACCTAAAAACATGATTCTGTCGAATTGGATGATAATCCTCCCACTACATCAATGTACCGATGCAAGAATTTGTGTAGTAGATGATGCTAACGCATCAATAGGGAATTCATATATTATTCTCAATCTCTATAATAAGTGTGTTCACATGTGGTACATCTGGTACTCATACCATATTCTCTAACACTATGCTACTAGGTATATGATTCATAATATGATTCTCCTATAGATAAACAGTGAGTGAAAACAATCAACTTTTATCATTGAGATCATAAAATAATCCGTCCTAGTGACCTTTAGAGTAACTATCAAATCTATCATGCGTATGATCTGTTTCCAACTTACTTGTCCATATCAAGCGCACATGTGCAAGACTACCCCATATGTGCATGTGATTCAAACTAAGAAAAAAAACACAGCTCAACGGTATCCTTGAGACAGACTAAGATGGAATGCAGTTCATAATGCTCATCGATGTCATTAACGCTAAACTCTTAAATGAAAGAGATAATGTGGCATAACTGATCATAGATCTAACCATGTTAAGTGAAATTTTGTTATTCCTTTTTGACACCTAAATGCATTTAGCGTCAATTGCGGAAAACTGGTACACAATACCCTCATTGACCATATTGTCTTTGCACTAGCCCAAGAAATACTCATATCCTCGATCAGATCGAAGTGTCTTGATAAGTTTACCTAATCTGTGCTCCACATCAGTCTTAACCTTCTCAGAATATACCAAGAGTTTAAGAGTTGTGTTGCAACAGATAAACTTATCCAAAACGTGAGTAATCTTGCTTGGATGTTCATAAGACCACACGTGTCAGTGTGTACCGACTCCAATTGTCCTTTATGTCTATTTCATCTGGCTGATTAAGCCCTAAGAGTTATCTATCCTTCAAAATAGGGTTCACAATTTTGGTTTAGGCTCCCCTGCCTCACTAGGTAATTAACCTTCTTTGACCAATCTTTGAATCTCATTTTGATTGATAACAACCCAAAAATAGACATTAAAAATACAATGAGTCAGGAATAACAATTTTTCTCTTAACATTCAATC